AAATAAAACGATTTTGCATTTTTTTTTATTGAAATTGGTTAAATGCGATTTACAAACGTTTACCTATCATTATGCACAGGTGAAAGAATGTACTGTTGCCGCTGCTAATAAATTCTACTCTCTGCAAATCTCTATCCTAGAACAAGATTTTCCATTCTTGAACACGTGTTGTATAGTCATTAGGCCGTTGAGAACGTTTCTTTTAATTCTTTATCAACTTTTATCAAAATCCGCTTTGTTAAACAATCCCTTAAAGCAATGTCAACATGTTGGGGGAGCGGTCGTCACTCCTCGATCGCTCTCTGTGGATCTGTCACTGAACGCACATATGGAACTCGGGTCTCGTAACAGTGTTGAACGATACAATTATAACCAAACTATTTCAATACGGGTATATTGAACTGGGAAGTGCATATATAGTTTCAAGGTTTTAACCTACTAGCTATTCGAGTTAGATATTATTGAGTCATTTCACTAAATAACAGGAGAAGAAAATAAGCAGCCAACTTGCTACTTTGCCTTACTATTAGTTTGATTTGAGACTCCACTTATCTGCACACGTTACTCATCTGTACTTAACTGAATTCTAGAGGCAAAAATTTAAATGAAACTTCTTGAAAATTTGAAATCTATAAAAATTAATTTAGTTGAATTTAAAGTTTAGTGATGTGTGATTGATGCCGGGTGACTTCTCGTCACTATTTGCTTGAGATGTGAAGATAGCTTGTCTAGTCTACTTGAAGGTATATTGCCTATTCGATTGCAATGATAGAATAAATTTATTCTTTCTAATTCGACAGATAATATCACCTAAGAGAAGTTTTTATACTTGAAGTGAATGGCTTTGAGTGTTTATGTGAAGGGAGACGCTATGAAGATAGAGAACTTAAAAGTCATATCATCTCGGAACTTGATAAAGTTGGAAATCATACTGAACTACCATAATGGTCACTTTACTATCACAACACACCTCACTAACATTTCTAACACAATAATGCTACTTAACACTACTGATATTTAACATCAGTTTAGATGGCAGCACTAATAGCATTAAATTATAGGTTGAATTAAATATAAGAAATTATAGCCCATTTAATAGAATTTATGATATGCTTACACGCACACTCGTGTTTATCATCATTAGTGTTAGAATTATTCTTTTCAACATGTATCTCATATTCTACTGAAGTGTAAAATGCATTTAGGAATAAGCCAGTCCTAGTTGAGCTCTTTGCATTGATGGTCCGGTCAGCCTCACCTTCATATCTTCAAGAGTTCACTTAAATTTCTAAGCTTATGTTTCACATGGTTAGTGGATTCTTTAGAAAGATGTTCAATGTTTAATTGAGCTCAACTCTTATGCATCTACAACCACTGTTAATTTATCCATCATTCATTTTTATCGTTTTATAATTTCAGCAGATTATAAATTTTCCAATGAGCACTAATCGCTTCTATATTTTAAGTCTTAAACCTTTCAAGAAAAATTGTTGCAAAGTAGGACCACACAGAGAGAAACGTTTGTTGTTTTCTTAGATTGATATTTTGTGCCAGTTCATGTCCCCTGTTTGATTGTATATCATTCCGGTCACGAATGACAGTCTATATACCAATTCATAATATTTTTGTCGTTTTGATCGAAAATATTTAGCCAATTTGCTTCAAAACGACAAAGCTGCAGCCAACATATTGCAATTCGGTTTCACTAGGCATCAGTGCATCACCACTTGGAATTCAGTGATATCCGATTTCGTTGATTTGAATTTTAGACAAGTGCTCTTAGAAATAATTGTTAATTAATTTAGCAATAAAGTAAATGAAGTGCTTTGTATTAACGACAATAAGTACATATATGAATAAAATTTAGTTGAGTATTGCAGATGTATTTTGTATAATATTTTTGAAACATGGCTATACAAGGATTATTAAAGTAACAGATACACAGTTTTACATGTCAATCCTAACATTGAGAGGTGGCTCAATGATCAGGTCTTGAATTTGCTTCCTAATAGTCACCAGTTCGAGTCCCCTCAGTGCCATTGAAGTGAGTACCCAGCTATAAATTTCAGGATCCCGTTGAATTAGTCGAGATGTGCGTAAACTGATCTGGACATCCACGGTCATTTAAAAAAAAAAAAAAGTTTTTACATGCCAATCCTGAAATACAAATCTCAAGATATAAAGTTTATGTCTTAAGACAAGAGGTCAAGAACCAGGTTAAATTTTAACCGGACTCTATAAATTCAGTCCAAACAGACGTGAATTGTCGTAAATAAGATTATTGTAGCTCACTAACCTTATAATTGTAATCGTACGGTCCACAAAGGCAAAATTTTGAATAGGGAAAAAAGTCATTGTATAAATTTCTAGACACAATCTACCAATCACGTCATATAAATTATACATTGCAATGGATTGGTCCACAACGTTAATTTTCTAGTGTACTAATCTTCAATCTTGGACGGTTCCTTTTACCAGCTTAATTTTTTTCCAGTTTCTTAGTTGGCAAAGTTTGACATTATTAGACAATAATTTATAATATGCTTCGATTTCTTGGTTGTTGCCAGTTGGGTTACAGGAAATTAAGGTATACATTAAGCAGCGTTTCAAGGCTGCTCATAGGATTCTCTTTCTTCTTCTGGAAGTCTTTATATACAAATTAACAATGATTTAAAAAATGGAAAAATCTATATATACATAATCATTATACATAATGTTGTTCATAATGTGATGTGACAATCATCCGATTGTTGATGTGAAAGTGTGAGATTTAAATTAAAGGTTAGATCCAATGTCACATGTAATTATGGAGACAATTATGTACATGTAGCACTTTTTTAAAAAAAATAATTAAAACAATTTACATAAATGTCTGTCCAGATAAATGACCATTACAGATACACTTCTCCCTTGAAACCCGTAAAAAATGACGATTGTGTTATATGTACATTATAACTTACATATTTATTTATCAACAGATTATGTGATGAGATATAATCGAATCAAAATTTTATAAAATAATAAAAAAAATAAAAAAATTAACTTTCTTTATGCCAGCTCATCAATCTGTAAAAGAATTTGTAAGTGATTATATACTACAAGCATTCTCCAAAAAATAATTTGCTTTGAAAAGTAAATTTCAAGAGTATATATGCAATTTTTGAGTTGAAAAAATAAGTGTACATGTTACAAAAAAACTACTTGGAAAGAATAATTAGTTATAAATAAACTTCGAGAGTATCTATGTAATTCTGAAGTCGAAAAGCTATCTGTATAATAATTAGTTATGTCGAAAGATATATCGAGTGAATTTTATTTTTTTCAAAAATAATGTTTACTTGTACTTGGTCAACAGCCTTTAAAAAAAAAAAAAAAGGGGTTGAACCCCAACCTTGAAGGCCCCCATTGTCCCGTCCCTAGAGTATCGTAGGGGAGGTAAATCGCGGGATGTACCCCCAATAGATTAGAGAATAAGAGCTTGTCCGTACACTGGTACCCACAAAGAGTCCAATTTCATATCTTAGGAATCTGGTACTCACAAAAAGTCCAATTTCATATCTCAGGAATCGAACCCCACACTGCGATTATCATTAAGGTTGAGACTACCTTACTCTTGTTCTTTGCACCACTTGATTATGGGCGGTCAACGGCCTTAATTTCTTGGATTCTCTATGGAGAGAGAAATGTGATAGTAACGTTGCAACCAAAAGGTCCAAAACCCAACAGAAATTTGTTTGTCTGGAAAAAGGGAAGTCCATTTTTTCTAATCATTGCCCTAATTTTATAATCCCCATTCATACGGCTATCCGACATAGAAATTTCTTGCTAATATTTTAAGGTCGTGGTTCATTATTTTCAAACTATCTTGGCTGTTTGTGTATCATTCAATATTGAAAATTGCAGTACGGGTTCCCATCTGACATTCTTCAAAGTGTAGCATGCCACACTTTAGGGTTATGTGGCAATTTAACATAAAAGGTTTCAAAATTGGAGATTGATTAAGAAATTATAGTGAACAATTAAATTAGTACGATGTCCATTAACTTGTTTTCATCATTTATCTAGGTAGAATTGGACGCCCGCTTTATTGTAAAATTGAGCTGACTGTATTTTCTTTAATGAATAATGCTATTCACTTAAGCACCAATATATGTAAGAGCGTGTCTGATTAACTTTATTTTCGTGGAAAATATTATTTTTCACCTAAATTCTTACTTTTAGGGTGTATGACTGAAATTTTTTTCCATGAAAAATATTTTTCAACTTCTAGTCATATGACCATATTTTCCTAAAAATAATGAGAACATTTTCTTTAGGGAGTGGTGGTTTTTATGTTCCAAACAATTCACGTGGTCCGACAAAGTTATAACACATTTTTATGCTTGAATAATGTTAGCCAATTGCCACATCGGGTGGGATCTAGAATCACCAACTCACCAATACTAGTGACGAATACCAATAAAATCATGTTACATGTACAGTTATTTTTTATTATTTTATTTTTCTTTTACATATTGTTTGACCGATGTTGAAGTAACATTCATTTGATCCTTGATTTTAATTTCATTTATTCAAATTAGGGCTAAATGCATGCCACCCCGCTCCTATCAAGAAATGTGTAAAAATATTTCCGTGCAAGTAGCTTGATTAATACCAATAATGGTACATAGAGCATTATTCATAATGAATGTTTGAAAATTAACTCGTTCTTCATCGACGGCTGGAGATCAACTTAGTAGTTGAACAATAGAATGTGGACCAATCATGCAATTGTCCATTGGCTTCTTGTCGAATTTCCCAGGGGTACTTAAATAAATAATGGAGCGCTGGCCGCGGCCGCGTATAGCCGTGTCTTCCACCGCCCCCTGGCCAACAAAAACACTTTTTCCACGTACCCACCAACCTATGGACCCTACGTCCATACCGCGTACATAACTAATATTCCTTTATATATAAATACACCATTCTACTGCTCATGATCAGTATCTAATCTCTCAGAACAGAACAATATTCTAGAAAGCCTATAAATTTTTTCCCATTTTTTATCAAAATATTCTTGAATGTACGTCGAACAAAATATGAAAATGCAGAAAAAGGGCTCATCAAATTCTGGTCGGAGAGCATGGAATATCCTTCATTTAGCCCTTTTATGGGCAAGAAAAGGTGACATATTCAGAAACAAATTCTCCATAAGTTTAAGCTTACTTCAAAAAGGTGTTAAGAGTCTCCGCCACCCAAAAGGCGGCAGCGGCGCCCTCATTTACGGCGAGCGTCAACTCTCCTTTGACCAAACTCCGATCATCCATGTCAAAATGCACCGCCCTTCTTCTCTCCGGTTCAAGATGCCACACATTCCCTGCATTAGTCGCCATGTGGATTTTGATTACGATTTTGAGTTCAATGATAATGAGGACAGAATTTATTACAGTGATGTACCCAGAAAGAGTTTCTTAAAGGGAGTAGAGGATCAAAATTATGATCATGAACTTAATCGAGTCAGCGAAGAAATTTATGAGTCTTCTGATGAAGGAATTGATTTGAAAGCTGAGCAGTTTATAGCAAAATTCTATGAGCAAATGAAGATGCAGAGACAGATATCTTATCTACAGTACAATGACGTGCTTAACAAATCTTCAACTTGATCAATGTATACCTACACTAAGACACAGGACGTGGTTTGAACAATCTATTGGTTTCATATACACTCTGTTTTTGTACTTTTTTGTTTTGGCGACAATTTTAGAAGAGTTATGGGCGGCATTTTTTGGTAGATACTTGAGGTTTTAGTATTAATGCTGTTTAGTTTTTAAAGAATAATTCTTTTATACATTTCAATAATGCGTTTGACGCTTTATATTATAAATATGTTTTTAATTAAAACTATTCAATACCACATGCGTTGCACGATTATTGTATCTAATGTGCCTTTATTAGCGTGATGTAGAGATTTTAGTTTTCTTGGCTGATTATGCTTTTGAAATTTGAATTAATTTTTTTGGCATGAATGTTCTCCGACAATTAGTAAAAATTAGATTTAAAATTGTGGAAATATAAGTAAAAGATAATTTATAAATTTGCTATAGTAAAGAATAATTTATTTTTCTTTATCTTTTGTTTTAACCAACTTTTCTTTAGATTATTTTATTATTTTCTTACATTTAAAATTAAAAACATTTTAAATGTATTTAATTACAGAGAGAGTGAGTTTGGCTCAATTTTCTAAATTAAAATGTTAATTTAAAGAGTGTTTTGGAGGATAATTTTAAAGATTGACTCTTTATTATAGAGACTATCTCATGTTTAAAGACTTTTCTAAATATATTTCATTTAAATAATTTTGAATATTAGAAATGGGTTTGGTTTGAAAGTAAGTGGGAATTTGGATTCTTGTGGTTGAGATAGTCAAATTTTTCATTGCACTTGTGATAGAGGATGAAAACAAATATGTCTCTTTCTTGCAGGCAAAAAAAGAAAGAATCTTGCAGAATGTCAAATGTAATTAATGTTATTAACTATTTCACCAATCTACTTCATTTCTTCACCTCAAATTCATAACTCATTTTTCATCTGCATCTTCAATTCATTCATTTCAAATCTCAAACTAATTACAGTCTGGAATTAAGCAACAAATTCTAAGGTAAGTTGATTTTTATGAATAATATTATTTATATCTTACTAATTTAATCGTTGATATTTATGGAAGAAATGTGAAGTTCGTATCGAAAATGAAGTTGGTGGTGTGGGAAGTAAGCGGAGGAGATGCCTGCAGTGCAGGGACTCCACACAAAAATGTACGGAGTCCCCGCACGAGCACCAATTTCGTGTGGGGACTCCCTGCACCAATTTTGTACGAAGTCCCCACAATGCTTGAAGATCGAGATACCATGAGAGCACATTGACACATCAGGAATAAGATTTTGAACCTGATAGAAATGTAAATGTCTCTATCAATATGTTTCAAAGGCAAAAGACCTTTGCATAAATGATATAAGATTTTTAATTCTACCCCTGAATCTATTCTTAGGCAGATGCCTATCTCGTTATGCATTTTTTAGCATATACTATTGAAGGTGTGTGAGGTTGGTGGTATTGGGTGATTTTGGTAAATCAATTAAGTTTTCCTCTTCAAAAATCTAAACAAGAATATTATCTCTTCAATCCAAATTCTGTAAGAAAAAACCTCTTGAATATATGGATTGAGAACCATTTTTTGGAAGATTAGTTAAAACTGTTGAGAAATTATAAGTAAATCATATTAACCTGAAGAAAAGATAACAATACCATGAATTCAGCATGATGCTCGCTTACCGCTAGATCTATAAAATGCACCCACACTCTTCCCAGGTTTCTTCTCCCACCATTCCACCTTGATGCTTATCATGATGACATTGCAATTCTTCATCTACAGCTGCTTTATTATCCAGTTCACCAATGTTATGAGCAGTGTCCATAGCTTCAACTTCCGCTTCATTTTTAGATAAATTTACAGCATGTTCTTCTGATTCTTTAGTTTCTGGTCCTTTGTCCAATTCAAGAGCATCTTTTTCACCATCTTTTACATCCAAAGGCAGAAGTTTCCGAATCAAAGCAATCACATAACCGATTTCGTGTGGGGACTCCACATGGAATTCCCGCACAGGACTCCGCACCCAAAACTTACTCTTTTTTTTGCTTCTTTTTTTAAGTTAAATTATAATTTTTTTATATATAAATTGGAGACAAAATCTCAGAATTAGAAAATATATATTAAATCTGATGATGGATATGCATTGACAATAATTTTTTTTTCCAGCTTACATGATATATACTTATATGAAATCACGAAGGTATGTTGGTATAAGTTATGACATTTTTCATATATATCTTTTATTATTTGTGCAGATGTCTCTAGATTATATACTGTCACCAAACCAATGATTTTCTGGTACTATAACTCAATACCCCAATTACCAATATGTAAAAAATTGTATAGAATTGTTTCAAGCAGGTGAGCAATCACTTTTACTCTCTAGCGATAGCAGTTTTCATGGATTTCTTTATGAATTTATATATACAGATGAAGAGCAACAATTCAGCAGTAAACTAATACATGAATTTCTAATGAGGTTTGTTGACTGTGGTAAAAGGAATGAGGTGTGGGTGAGGTTGGATGATCATTTTGCTCGTTTTGGCCTGCAAGAATTTTGTCTAATAACAGGATTACCTTGTTATGAAAAATCTTTTAATCTTAATCCCAACAATTCTCGACTTAGAGATCAATATTTTGAAAGCAAAAAAAGAATTAACATGAGAATGCTTTACGATGCATTCTAATTGTGTGAAAATCCAGAGGATAAATTAAAATTGGAATTGGTGATGTTGGTAGAATGTGTTTTGACACCAACGAAAATATATATTGATTACAGAACTTTATGCATAGTTGAGCAGCTGAACGATTTTTTATTGTATCCTTGGGATCGTAAGGCATACTTTGTTTTGTTAAAGTCGTTGCAACAATCACATATTGAAAGAATACAAAGAATGCAACAGTCTGACCAAAATGAATGTAGATATATACTACATGGATATCTCATTACCTTTCAGGTATTTTTTTAAATTTATTTACTCTATATTTTGATTTTATATGTATTTAATATTGATTTTGAATTCTCTGTTGTAGTTTTGATATACGAAGCATTTCCTCAAATTGGAGACAAATTTGAATGACGTATGTATAATACATTACAGGCTCCAAGAATGCATAGATGGAAGCCAAAAAAATATTGAGTGAGAAAAGTAAAGCAATTTTTCACTACCCAAGAGGTACGATAATTTTAGATATACATTTAACTATCAATTATCTAATTATTTAATCGAGGGAGAGGAAAGTATTCTAATTTTTTATTATATTTGTAGATTGAAGTACTTGTAGTGTTAGCACCCACTGAAGAAGAATTGGACAAAGTTTGGTAAATGACTTTATCATTACCAACTGATAACCAACATATTATTTTAAATGGCATCATTGGTAGAGAATTTGAGAATGCACATCAACAAATTCCATAACATATGGACGAGCAACGAATTCCACAACGTATGGACGAGCAACAAACAGGTGTTGCTGGTAGTTCAACAGCGCAGATTTCAATTGGACTTCAGGAGTCTGGTTGTTCTTCTGTTGATTTCAACTATGTAAGAAGAGAAAAAATGGAAGAAATGTTCAGTATGTATAGATAGCATGTAGTGTCAGATATGTCTGGCTTATGTCATAACCTGAAGACAGACATAGTTGATGAATCAAGAAGATAGGAAGCAGAAACTCTTCAAAATCAGAGACAAATGTTTGAACAACATCAGAAATGGTACGAAGATCAACACGAGCGTTTGGGCTTCCAATCTGGCATGCATTCCTATCATACTGCTCAAGAAACAAAAGAATAAGATGCTTGTTATCAAACATTTCTTGATCAATAGAAAGAAATGTTTCAACAACAACAGAAATGGTATGAACAGAAATATCAAGGAATGCTTCAACAACAACAAAAATGGCATGAAGATCAGTATCTGGGAATGCAGTCTTATATGAAGAACAATTTTGCTTCCATGCAGTCTTATATGGACAACAATTTTGCTTCAATGACGACGTACATTAACGACAAAAACGAAAATGTAATGAATCGATTAGATGTTTTGGAATCAAAACTGGAAGCTATTGCTTGTTCACAGCTGCAGGATGTTCCTGGTTCTAGTAGTGGTTAGAAAGCACTATTTCAACAAATTCAACCAGTGGGAACATCCAGAAAATAAAAGAAAAATAAGAAAATAAAGTATTCAGATTATCCGTTAGAAAACTATCTCATGGAAAGATATACAAGAATAAGAGAATGGGTGGTGCGAAATTCATCTGGGTAAGAATTTGATAGTCTTTTATGAATTGTATTACATTGATTTAGTATTAATTTAAACTACAATATATACATATAGTGCAGATTGGAAGATTGTAGGAGGTGACAACTTATATGGAAGAGATACAATAAAAACTATAATGGATGCAACCAAAGATATCAATATTGCAGTTAGTGAAGTTTATAACTCTGGCTTAATTAATTTTATTATGCTCAACATATCTAATTTATTTCTATTTATTGTATTAGCATATAGAAATGGAATTAAAGCTATTGAGAGAGTTGATCAATGAAGTTTGCAGTCCTGTTTCCAAAGAATATGCAATTCTGGACTTCAAATTTGAACATGAATGTGCTGCCCAATTGATGTGGCAACATAATGTAATGGCAGAATGTTTTACCAATTCTCAAAAGGATTTATTAACTGTGACTTTACAGTAATACATGAATGGTGATTTGCCAGTGACTGGGCGTTCATGAATAGCTTGCAACTATTTATTAATTTCATATTCATATCCGGAAAAATAATTGGTATCTATTCTTCTTAATTTTTTGGAATGGAAAATTCAAATATACGATTGTAGTGAAGAGTCTCATACACCATAAGAAATCAGGGAACAAATAAAATCATTAGTTGAAATAGTCCAAATTTCATTGAATTCTAGCAATTTTTCTTTTAGGAGATCGGATTTAAGGAAGTATAGAAACAAAAGGCTAAATTTGAAAATTATACCTTATCTACCTTGCGCAAATAACAGTTATGTATTTAATGCATTTAAATTGACAATATTTAGGGTCCGTTTGGTGCACATTTTTTTAGATGAAAATGCATTTTAAACATCATATCGCGGGTCCCCCATTAGAGTGCAGAAGTCAAAAATTGTGTGCTGATGTGACGGAAAAAATGCATTTTTGGCTCCAAAAATGAGTACCAAACAGGGGCTTATTCTTTCCTAATTTATGATTTTATCCTTCTACTATTTATTTTGTCTAGTAGAAAATAATTCTTTGATATAGGGTAAATTCTCCAGTATTTTTACTCAAATATATAGAATGCTTTGTTTTCAACTATCCATTAGAAACAGTTGAAGCAGACCGGATGAGTATATATAGAAGAAAGATTGCAGTAGACATTTGTTATAATCAATATTTTCTACATCCCCGTAGTTCCTGATTAGTTTTTGATCGTAAATGTGAAGAATTTGTAATATATAAACAATTTGAAATTAGTTTAATATTATTTTTGGTGCAACTATGTAGATTCAAAATTTAAAAGTGAAAAATTATGCATGGATGTTTTAGCTGTTTATTTGCTTCGAATAAAGTAAATGAAAGACAATAATTCAGTTTTTGATTGTAAAATGTGAAGAATTTATATAATATATAAACAATTTAGTTTAAGGTTATTTTTGGTGCAATACGCAAATTCAAAAGGTGTATTTATAAATAATGTGCTACGAACTTTTGGTGTAATTTGAAACGTACCATTTTGTCATATCTTTCACTCTTGTATTTATGGTATTTTTATTAGTGTATGAATTTTAGTTTTGGAAAGTTTTTGAAGGAATATTTGAAAATATTTCCATGATATAAAAAAATAATTGCAAATTATTTTTACAATTGCATAGCAGTATGTAATCTAGAAAACTATTAGTGTTGATATGATTGAATTGAATGTGAAGATTATATTTCTAAAATTTTGTGTAATTCAATCGTGCGAAGAGAGTCAACCAAGTGTGAAGTAAAAATAAAAAATAAAAAAAAAATTTGCGGAAAGAAAAAAACCTTTGACATGATGGAAGAATATTCGTCAATCATGACAAAAAAATTCTTGTAAAAAATAAAAATGGATAATAAACTAATAAAATTACAATAATTTTTTATTTTTTTTTACAAATAACATAAAAAAATCATTTTTATCTTTAAGAAAAAAATAAATTTAAAAATTAGCAATTTCATAACCATTTTTTTTAATTCTCGAAAATAGAATTATAAAAAAGGAAACAATATTGAATTACAAAATTTAATATTCAAGAAATTCAATACCAAATAAATTTTATACATTTATAACAAATTATAAATCAGCTTACCGTATTTGCAGGAAGCATACCGTATATGCTGCCATATTTGCAGTCTACCGTATTTGTAAGCAACTTACCGTATTTGTTGCCTATCGTATTTACAAGCTACCGTATTTGCAAACAACTTACTGTATACAGTATTTGAACTTTACCATATTTGCTGCCTACCGTATTTGCAAACAATTTACTATATTTTCACCTTACCAATTTGCAGGTTAACTTACCGTATATGCTGCTTACTGTATTTGCACTTACAAATACGAGAATACAAAAAATCGTAAATTCACTTACCAAACTGAATTTCAAAAAAAATTAATTTTTATTTTTTCAACATAAAATAAATATTAAATATATATCAAGCTGGGTGGTATGGCATTATCAATATCACCTTCTTTGAAATTGTCATCTATAGATTTTTAAAAAAAATCATTACTATTTAGTCTAAAAAATTTAATGTGTGTGTGTGTGTGTGTGTGTGTGTGTGGAGTGTTGTCCCAAGAAAAAAACATAATAAAGCTGTGCGGGACACTTCGCACGTTGTAGAGTGTCCGGCACTCCACACACAGTGTCGCACGCACCTCCCACAATTTTTTTTATAAATTATTAATAAAACTAAATGCATTAATTACTATTAATTATTTTTTTTAAATATTCTTTAGATAACAACAAATCTTTTAGTTGGTGAAAAATAAATGAAATAATAATGATTTATAAAACCAATTATTGCAAGCAAATTTTTGGTTTCATATGGTGACAAAGTCAAGAAATTCACGTGAAACTTCTGAAAAGAAAAAGTTTCACATGAATGAAAGAGGAAAAAAACAAAAAGAGATCATTCTTTCTTTCGTTTCATTTCATTTCTTTACTTTCTTTAGTAAAGTTTAGTTTTCTTTCACAGTTGCATTCTTCATATTTCATCCCAAAATCTGAGGAAAATCCAAAATCCGAGGAAAACAAATTACAAGGTAATTGTTTGGTTTTTAGGAATTTTTCTTTATTAATTTTTTTGTAGTTAATTTGTTTTCTGTGAACGTGAAAAATTAATTTTTTACAGATTTTTGTGATTTTTGTTGTGTTAACATGGTGTAGAAGAAAGAGTTTTTAATCTGTGGATATATTTGTCAAAGAAAGAGTTCAGAGTTTCTAATCTGTTTGTAATCGATGGATATATTTGTGAAAGAAAGAGTTTAGCCATCGAGGAACATGGGTTGGTTCACTTCAATAAAGAGGATCGATAGAATTTTAAATTTGTTCGTGAAATATGTTTTTTTAAATGATACCACATCACCAAAATATACATACTCCTCAATGTCTTTGTCATCAACCCAAAACATATTTATCTTTAAAATCAATCATTCCTTCCAAATTTCATGCGATTATCTAAAATTATATATGCTAAGGTAAATTACTTTATATTAGTTATGTGGATAAAGAGGAAAATATTTGTGTAAGACATATTTTAATTTTTATTTGTAATCCAAATATTAGTTTGTAAATAAGTTTTGTTATTTCATGCAGATGTCTCTAGATTATGTGTTGTCTCAAGACCAATGGTTCTGTGCTATTGTTTGTCAATATTCAAATCATTAATATGTTAGAGATTTGATAGAGTTGTTACAAGCAGGCGAACAAGTATTATTAATATGCAGTAATTTTCATGGATTTCTATATAAAATTTATGTATAGAGACGAAGAGCAACAATTTAGTTGCAAGTTAATACATGAATTTATAATGAGGATAGTTGGTAAAAACAACGAAGTGTGGGTAAGATTTGATGACTATCTTGCCCGTTTTGGAATGCAAGAATTCTGCTTAATCACTGGACTACCTTGTCACGAAAAATCTGTTAATCTTGACTCTAGTAATCCTCCACTTAGAAACCAATATTTTAATGGTGTGAAAATGATTTATATGAGAATGTTCCATGATGGCTTTAATTCATGTGAAGACCGAGAAGATAAATTCAAACTTGGATTGGTTATGTTGATAGAGTGTGTTCTCAAACCAATTGAAAGACATATTGATTATAGAATGTTGGGTATGGTTGAGCAGCTTGACCATTTTATTTTGTATCCATGGGGCCGAAAGACATATTTTGTTTTGTTGAACTCATTGCAACAATCACACTTTGAAAGAATACTAAGAATGCAACAAGCTCAACAAAGAGAGTGTAAATATTCGCTACATGGATATCCTCTTGCTTTTCAGGTACTTCATTTTTACTAAATTTTTATTTTTTGTTTAGTTTAATGTTGTATATATTTAATATTTACCTTTAATTTCATTTTGCAGTTCTGGATATATGAAGCATTTCCCAAGATTCGAAAGAAATTTGGACGAAAGAGATACAAGACATTACAAATTCTAAGAATGCACAAATGGAAGCCGAAGGAAATATTGACAGACAAAATTGTAAAACAATATTTGTCTACACACGAGGTATGGTAATTATACGAAAATTTATACATCTAATTATTGTACTATACTATAATATAGAATTCTAACATGTTATTACGTTTTTAGATTCGACTGCTTGCAGTATTGCAATCAATAGAAGAAGAATTGCTGACATTGTGGTACACAACTCTATCGTTACCGTTGGACAATAAACACTCAATATTAGATGGCATTGCCGATGGAGAGCTTGGCAACATTGTACCACAAATTCCTCATAACAAACAAACAATTAATGCTGATGATGTTGGTACTTCCAGAACATACCCTTCAGTTGGAGTGGAGCCTAATTATACTTCTGTTGTTGACTATAATTATGTCACAAAAGAACAGATGGAAGAAATGTTCACTACACATAGACAATATGTATCTGGTCTGTATGATGACTTGAAGGCACGAATCAAGAAAATAACAGGATGAATATCTTGAAAATCAGAAGGGAATGTTTGAAGAACAGCAAAAATAGCATGAACAGCAATATCAATAGCTGCACTCTGCTTATCAATCTACATATATGGAATGTCAAGCTTTCTGCCAGGATTTTTTTGGTCAACAGATGGCTGAACAATAAAAAAGACAAGAAAGTAATTATCAAGCAATTGTTGATAATCAGGAAAAAAAATCAGCAACAACAAAAATGGCAAGAAGATCACCATTAGGAAATGCAACCTCACATGCAATCTTACGTGGACAATAGTTTAACTTCGATGAGATCTTACTTTGAAGAACGGAACAACAACATGCTGAATAGAATGGGTGATATGGAAGCTATTGTTGGTTGTTTACAGAAAGATATTCCTAGCTCCAACAGTCAAATTCGTGGCAAGAAAGTAACATCCGAACAAACTCCTCAAGCTGAAATGTCCACAGAAGAGATGTATAATAGGAAGATAAAATTTTCAGGTTTTCCTCTCGAAGACTATTCTATGGAGAGGTATTTATCAGTTCATCAATGGGTGGTGGTGAATACATCGGGGTAAAAAGCCTTACTCTAACTTATTAGTTATATTGTATTTATTTCACACCGATATAAACTATTATTTACAGTACATATTGGGATGTTGGAGGCAATATGTATGGAAGAGACACACTATACAATATACTTGAAGATATAGATATCAGTATTGCAGTTAGTGAATCTCACAAATTATAATTAATTTCAATTTACATTTGACATCTAATTTATATCTATTTATTGTATTAGGCTATAGAGTGGAGTTGAAGTTATTGAGACGATTGATTAAAGAAGGCTCTACTCTTCTCTCTAAATGGAATTTTGGACTTCAATTTTGAAGTTGAATGCAATCACCAATTGATGTGGCAAACAACTTTAAAAGAAGGAAGTTTTAGTGCAGATCATCGTCAGATGGACTTGACTATATTAAAAAATTACATAAGTGGCAATCTGCCAGAGCACAGTCGTCCATGGATAGCATATAATTATTTATTAATTCTATGTTTGTATCCAGGTGATTATAATTGTTATCTTCTTGTTGTTGATTTCTGTCAGTGGAAAATTTAAATATATGATTGCAGTAATGACGTCCACACACCAACAGAAATCAGGAAACAAGTACATACAGTATATGAAATACTTCAAATATTATTGACAAGTTTTGAATTTTATTCAAGTAGACCTGATTTAAGGAAGCACCGAAACAAGAGGCTAAAATTGGAGATTATATCTCATTTGCCTTGCGCAAAAAATGGGTAAGTATTTAAGGCATTTAAATTGTTTATTATTTACTACTATATTGAATTTTTCTTTTAGTTTCGATTTCTATATTCATTATTACTTTAGTCTAACAAAAAAATTTGTATGTAGGCCAAACTGTAGACTTTTTCTTCTCAAATACATAGAATGTCTTCTTCTAAAGTATCCATTAGAGACAATTGATTTCGAGAGAATGAGGATATATAGATGGGAAATTGTGGCTGACGTTTGTTACAATGAATATTTTTTTTAAATCCGTGATTATAATTGTAATTGTGATATGTAAGGATTTTTTAATTAAAGATGGGCTTGTATGTGTAAATAATTGTGTGTTAAATTATAGGCTATCGAATTCGGTCGAGCCCGATTAAAGTGATCTAATAAAGTTTTGATTTTGGGCTTTAATGTATCCAATTAAAGTATGGGTTTATATATGTGTAGAGACCGGGCCCAAGTCCTAATTCTATGATGGGCCGAATTAGGTCAAAGGGCATCCTCATATAAATAGGTTATGGTCCCCAGATCACATGCAACGAATTATTCATTCTCTACTGCATCCCATCACAGAGAGGAAAAGAAGACTGCGTGTAAATTTGGAAGATCATACCGCGAAATCCATATTGCATTAACCATGTCAGATTCAGGTATGCTTCCGCTTTAATTGTTATATTTCTCGATGATTTAACATGAAAGATCTAGTATTTTAAAGCATTAAATTACCCAACAAGTGGTATCAGAGCCTCTTCATGTTGAATCATTGAGAATCAAAGGTTTTAGTTTGGTTCTTGCAATATATTTTGAAAATTTCAGATTTAACAATTTTTTGGTTATATATTTTGTTAAATTTGAAAATTTTTGCGGTATAATTTTGTTATTTTCGTTCGGATTGATTTAGTTTAGAAAATTCAGATTTGGGTTCAGATTTCTGGTACAGATTTATTAAAAAAAAAGGGGGGGAAAATTGAATTGGCCGGCAGCGGCTGCTGCGTTTTGCAGCAACCGCTGCTGCAAAACGCAACAGCGCCTGGCGCTGCTGCCTGCACGCCGGCGCCCCTCCTCTGGGCGCCGCCGGAATGCGCCGCCGGCCTAGGAAGAAAGAAGAAAGAGAAAATTTTTTAAGTTTTTTTTTTAGTTTTTGATTTTTGGGGGCGGGGGTCTCTTGTGTAAATTAGATAAGTTGAGGCCCTTTGTTGCAATTAGGGTTAGGGTTATAAAATTAAGATTTCAGTCCCTAACCTTTAAGTTATATTGAAATTTGGGCCTTTAAGTTTCGGATTTAATAATTCAGTCCCTAAGGTTTTAAAATTAATTAATTCGGGCCATTAAAGTTCTGAATTTATAATTAAAGCCCTCAAAATTTAATAATTAATTCAAATTGACCCCTAAAGTTTCAAATTTTTAAAATTTGATCCCTAAAGTTTTGAATTGGTCAAATTTGGCCCCTAAAGTTTCAAGTTTATTAATTTCAACCCCTAAAGTTTGGAATTAATTAATTTTTCCCCCTTAAAGTTTTGAATTATTAATCCTAAGGCCCCTAAAGTTTAAAACTAATCAAAATATGCAAAATTGGTGATTCTCTTTCTCAAATTTTGGTACTAAAGACTCTTTTAAGAGATATAATATTCGAAAGTTAGTTAATTGAAGCAACATGTTGTTAAAGCAACCTCTCTTGTGAAAATTGACTAATTTAGAATGTTAAAAAGTGTTTGTGCATGTGTTATTCATGGGATATTGGTCGACCCAAAGGAAGGTCAATATTTAGCCGAATACACGTGCACCTGTGGTGATAAACGTGTGACGATTATTTGGTTTAATGTGTGATCAATAAATCGGTCCAAAGAAAGGTTTATTGATTGACATGTTATTTTATCGTCAATGTTTGATCACTACACCAAGAGTACCACTTACAAGTCAATATCTCTGTCCAAAGACT